CTTTATCATCGCCGCAAACAATTTTCTCCCACCTAGGGTCTAACACTGGCCTTGGTGATAACAAAGCATCTCATCCTTACGCACAACAAAAAAAAGGGAGGGAAAGATTTTTCTTAATTGCGATGACCCCCACTGTTCACTTCCGTGTCTCGTGTTCATTGTCATTTCCAAGCACGTTCCAATCTATGGGAGCTAATCTCCTGTAAGCGTTTAGATTCTCCTTTATATTCAGTTCGATCTGTGTATGAAGTCGCATTAAAACGGTTCGTCTATGAGTGCTGAAGCCATGCATGTAATTTTGTAAGTTTTTCTTTCTCCCCCACTTTGGCGACAACGATCCTCCTTACTTAACGTAACTGCTTTGATCAACGTTTCCTTAAAGATCCCGATGTGATCGAGGATATAAGTGTAATCTAACAACAATCAGAGGAGTTTGGGCGAAATGATGGAACACTGTAAAACTTTCGTCGCTTTAATGCGTGTTTGAGTGCGATCCAACACACTGGGAGAAGCCGCTGCCTCGTTGTGCTTTGTTGCTCATTTATAATCATCAACACACTGAAATAATCAAGAACTACATCACCACAACAAATAGTGCTTGGTGCGAGAACCATATCTGATGTCTCTCAGGTTTTGACATTGTCTGAAACGTCTTCCTGCATCTATAATAAATGGCTTTCAGCACTCATACCATCTGTCCTTAATGAGTCCATTTTCCTCTCCCAGCCATTTCCATACTGTATTGTGCATTGCCTTACATGCATTTGCATAATTGTTCAAAGATTTTTCCCCCTCCCTTTTTTTTGCGCCAAAATTGATATCCATGCTGGGTGTCAATGTGAGTGGAGAAGAATGGAAGAAGTGAAGATGTTTGTGAAATAATGTGCAAGGAGAATCCATTTTTGCCCCCCTCCTTCCTAAGCCCCGCAGTAACCTAATCAGGAGTTGCTTTATCTGCTAATCCACATTTAAACTTTAACCTGTAGGGGGGCTCTTTGTGTTAGTTAATGTAAGCATAAAAGCAGAGGCTGGCCTGAATGACTAATCAGATCCATCATACGTTGTAAGACTAAATAGCTTTTCCGAAAGGGAATCAGAATTAGCGTGACTTCCATCTAAGGAGAATCAGGGTGAACTTTAAATGAAACAATGGACACGTTACATGGGGAATGAATTTAGCATTCCAAAGGCAACTTCTTAATCTGCTCAGCTTTCAGAGCTGGGCAGAAATGGCAAAGTTTGGTAAAAAAAAAAAAAGAGGGCATGAATAGAGGGGAAAAACTCCACATCAGCAGCTGCTTATGGATCAACTCTGGAAATGAAATGGAAGGACGGGCGTAAAACCGGAACAAATGCTGGAAATCTAATAAAAGGTAATTTGGAGGGACTCCTTAAAAGGCCCACAGGACACTCTGTGGCTACAATGACAAATGACAGCCAGGGCAGATGACATATTAGGCTTTTAATATTTCAGTATATAAAGACAATTAGAAGCTGGAGCTCAAAGGAGGACCTAAATGAGATCATCCGACAACAATGGTTAATTCATGGAACTCTTTTTGAACGTATCAGCTGCCAAACAGCATCAGAAGTGTTACAAATGTAGCTTTTTTATACATATCACTGCAGTAACTCATTTAAAAACAAACCTATAGATGTATTTGTTTAATGCCACTTCATCACCATCAGCTATGAATATTTATAGCAGCCCAGGAACGGTGCATTATTTACCATGACACAAGCGCTCCTCGTTGGATTCAATTATCTGTCACAACTGCTCTATTCTAAATGGTGCAATTCACATGAGAGATCAGAGACGTGACTTTTTTTGTGCTTCTTTTCACAGCATTAAACATCTGTTGACAGAGTTCACATTCATTCCTGCGGGACTAGCACCTAAATTTGTTTTCTCTCAGTCTTATAGTTCACTGCGTCGACACACCAAATACTAGTCTGTGGGCACAACAGTCACATATGGACTCCCAGATGCAACGAGTGTTTAAATTAATTTGCATTTTTAATAATAAGCCTAAAGTGAATCACTCTAAAAATATATATATTTTATGTAGTTTGTTTTTGTTGTGGAGCAAATGGTTGTTTCTGTGTAGAAAGAGGGGTGGTGATATGTTGGTTGCAATATTTTGTTCTGCTTTTAATGACCATTAGAGATCAAATGCTTCTCTTAAAGCAGAGAAAGGGGAGAAAAATAAAATGCACTTCTCCCTATATTGTATTTCTCCATTAGAGACTGATAAACTCTTCTTTACAAGGGCCATAAAATGCATGTCACTATGCACTGAATCTTTTCTTCTCTTTAAATGATCCCCATTTAAAAACTAACTTTAAAAAATAATAACGAAACCTATAGAGATTCTAAAGCCAAGTTTAGGTCTTTTTTTATACTTTCTCATTCATGTAAAACGATGTATTTGCAACTTTGGAGGGTGTAAGAATGACATAAAATGCTGCTGTTCCTGGACTATTCGAACACCTGCACTCGTATTGTCAGTCCCAACAGCAGTGCAGGTAACGAGCTCACTCTATGAGAGTTTGAAATCCTGAGATTGTACTCGAGGTGATAATCATTTTTATTTTAATAAAAGTTTTCTKCTCCTCCTGAGCAATGTGTGTCTTTTTGGATGAATGTTTTTTGCTCGGTGGATGCTGAGACTGGTCCAGTCAAAGATGGAGCTGTGTTCTCTGCGAAAGAAGCTTCTCTCGAACTTTCTGAGACGGAAGCAGATAAAAGAGCTCTGAGTCTTCTGTTCCACTTGTTCTGTTACCGTCTGGTTTCAGCCAAGGTCCCAGAGCTCTTCTGTAGGATCTAACTCCATCTAGTGGCCCTGTGAGCTCTCTTCAGGATGAATCCATCTTCAAAACCAGACCCAAACTTATCCAGCTGCAAACACAACATCCCATCTTCTACACMAGAGTCAAGCTCTTTAAAAATGTCTTTAACAACCTGCATCTTTTTTTCTTATAATGTTTAACATCTGTTTTTTTATTATTTTCTTCTAACAATTCAAGCCATTTTTGGTCCCATTTCGAGAGGGACGGTTCAACCAGAGGCTAAGGGGTAACAAAACAAAATTTCGAAGCCAATACTCAGAGCTCAATAACAAATGAAGTCATCTCAGGGGACATGTAATCTTTGCACATCCTCTAAAGCTCATTATTCCCATAATTCCACAATAAAGTTGTCTCTGTCATATTAATATTACCCACTTTTTTTTTCCTTCTTTCAAGAATTCTAATGAAGTTGTCCGGTCTGGTTTTCATTTAGCAGATTACAGTATGTAAAGAAACAATAAGAGAGGCCAAGGCTTTGCCACTGTAATCACTCAATTTACAACCACTCTCAGGACTTATATGACAGGCCAATTTTCACACTTATTAAGCCTCTGACACACTTGAAATAATCGTATTAGCTTTTTTTGTGAAATTAGCCCCAATTTCCTGGCAGACATACATGAATCAATGTAACAGACCTGGATGTAGAACTTGTGATGTCTTTATTGCTGCTCAGCAGAGGACTGGGCCTCAGTCAGAACTATAACTCAGATTGTCCTCTCTATCCAACATGCTTTACAGCTAAAAACACATATAAAGGATTTAATTTTAAAAATTATGTCGACTGGTTTCACTCAATTGAAGTAAGTAAAGATAACTCATTTACTTTGCATTTACTTAAAGTAAGGCCATCACTTAAGTTGTACCATAAAATGAGCCAGTAAGTGAAAAGTAAATGTGTTACTGTTACTCAGTTCAGTTGAGTGGAAYTGATTGACATTTTTCTTTTTTTTTTATTAAATCCACAACATGTGTTCTTTGAGTTCAGATTTTTTTAAAGTGAGGTTTGGTGGAAAGGTAATTAAACAGTTGCAGAGGTATATACATGAAGTACTGTTATTTTGTTAAAGTGCTTACATATTTTTGAGGATCTGTGATTAACTATTTTTGAAATCCTTTACTTTTATTTTGTTACATTCAATTCATAAAAATTATACTTTTTCTTCCTTACTTTAAAATTTAACACTTAGTTACACATTACAACTGTATATTTTATGCACTCTGAGAAAARAAGTGTTGAATTTATTTAACCAAGTTATGTCAGCTGGTCCCACCAAACTCCCACTTAAGTATTTTTGTTATTAGTGAAATTAGTTTGTACCAAGGTCATTTTCTGTTGAGGTAATTTTATTTTTCTGTAGTTATTTTTTATTGCAAGTACTTTATAYACCTCTGGACAGCTGTGACCTCARCTAAAASACATAAAGTTTACTTTTGATTTGATTTACGAGCCAACATCAAGTTCAAGACCAAGACCATTGCTGCCATCTTTAAATAAGCCTAATTACAAATGTTCGTAGTGTTTAATGCTCTAGTTTATAAACCCTAAGATTATTGTCAGTTATTTATATATATGGTTATGTAGGCATTTGCTAAAGCAAATAGCAGCAGCATAGTTAGCTGTAGTACTTCCTATGCAGCTTTTGGTGCTTTTGGCTGAAAAATAAGGGTATATTTAATAATTGTATTAGTTGACTATTCAAAACTGTGAGTTATGTAAGTTTATGATAAAGTGTTTGCAAGAACTGCTATAAAAGTTTATGATTTTAAGTTTGAAATGGCAGCAGTCTACTCTGGTTTTGGCTTCATTCAGGCTGTTAGCTTGTATGTTCAGTCAGATGAACACATTTTTTTTTTTCAAATTGAAAGCATTCAAATGGTAAGCTATTGTTTGCTCCTAAGGTTTCTCCAGAACCCCACTCTGAAAGATWTGATCTACTTGTTTTAAAAATGAAAAACACAGGAAATGTTTCAAAAACTTACAGGAAGTTGCGGCCATGGTGGTACAAGACAAGTCTAAGCCATGACAGTAAACAGCTTCCTCATTTGTTTTCCACCCGCTATGTTTGACATAGCTCACATTTTGCCTCGGTGCCACTGGTAAACAYGGCCAAAGTGGCGAGCACAAAACTTGCGGCGTCATAACTCACCGCCACAAAATGAGGCCTCTCACTGGGAGCGGTGGAAAGAGGAAAAAAAAAAAAACACGAGGCACTCCTCTCGTCGCCCCCCTCCTGCGTGGAATGCACACACAGCAACCAGTTTTTTTAGTTGTGGGGTATGCCACATCCTGGCACTTTTATCTTATGACCCCTGACCCCTGGCACATCTGGAAACATAGTTGGGAGTCAAACGTGAGGAAGTTTTCTTTTCTCCTCGCTCAGAGCTTTCAAAGTTGCAGGCTTGGACGTGGCTCGCTCAAAGACGAGACGTACAACGACTGCACTAGCAGTGAACTCTGGGATATCGAGCGGTCAAAGCGAGTGGTCTCCGAGATGGTGAGAAAACACTGTTGTGCTTTTTGGCTTGGCCGTGTGGAGTCCGTGGAAGCAGATAAACATCTCGGTTGTAGCTGGACGGCTTTGATGTTCGATGGTGGAGATGCGAAGACTGAGCCGGAGCCAGTGAAAACACGCCCAAGCTGGATTTTCTTCAGTATCACACTGAGGAACGTTTTTTTTTTCTTTTCTTTTCTTTACGGGATCAAATGTTTCTAATCAGGTCTTAATTAGCTATTTTAGCCTTGACCTTGCAAAGTGTTCCAAGTTGGAGAACTTTAATTTTCTCTTTGAGCCTTGAAAGGTTTCTATAGACAGACTTTCTTCGTGAATGCTCTACAATAAATAACCAAATATAAATGTACCGCAGGGTAGATGTCGTTCTTATGGAAAATCTTCTGCTGGTTGAACAGATTGGGACAATTTAACAGCAAATCGTTGCAATGGTTAAAAAGTGGCACAAATACATAACCAATAAGCAAATCGTCAGATTACATTCAGATGTTTAAACAAAATAAATATGTAAGCAAATCCTCTTTGAATAAAAACAAGTGGAATATTAGTTTTTTTATTAGCTACCTAGATTGAAGAAGCTATCTTTACTGAAAACAAGACGGCATTCTCTTGTCACCATCTTTTCCGAGATTTGTTGTTACGAGTAAACTTTAGTAAAGACGGGGTTACGGTTTAACCCTGACTAAATAGTAGTTCTGACATTTACTAGAGCTCCAGATTTTTTTCCCAGCTGTTTTCTCCACAGCTACTATTTTATTCTATAGCATGCCGTCAAATAAACCAAAAACATTTTTTTCACAAATATTTTATATCCTCAACAAGGGGCTCCCTCTAAATGTATTTACTCATTTATGTTTTTTCGTTTAATCGTCCTCAACTTTGTCCGACGACCACCGTATAAAAATACAAACTGCACTTTCCCCTTTCTTGTAAAAAGTATAAATTTATTTAATGAGATATGAAATGCTTATAAACGTCCTCAGACTTCACGCATAATTGCAGCTTGTCACCCTGTGGCACTAACTGACATATTGCTCACACAGTAAAGAGTTTATCCTTTTCAGTCACAACTTTACACCACACGGGAGCTTTGAGAGGAAATGTGAAATGCACACATATTGTTGCGTTTTAAGTAAATGTAGAGTTCGGTAAATTTTTGGAAATATTGTTGAGTTTTTCACGGCATTGGAAGCCCAGGATTGTGCAGAGAAGAATTCGAACACGTAAGGTAATAGCTGGAAACATTTACAGCAGAACTCACAACAAGAAGTCAAGAGTGCTGTAAAAACAGGCCGTATTTTTTAACATCTGCAGCTCTTGCTGAGCGGAGCTGCAGAGGGGGAGATACCATTTTGAACGTCTTAGTACTCAGTGGTGTTCTGGCTAAAAATCTTACAGTCCACGTTTGCCACATGTTTATGAATGCTGTGCTTTGTAGCTCCAACACAAATCTGATAGTATGAAAGCCATTTTGCTCTCTTGCGACATTACCTCACTTTATTTCAAACCATTTATTGTATTAAAAAAAGGTTTTGTTTTAACGTGGAAAGCAATCTGGGCACGTTTGATCGTTCATGGACATTTTTGTCCGTACGGTTGATAAAAAGTACTAAAAGTCATCTGGTGTACTTTTTTCCTTTCTCTTCCAGCAGATAAAGACAAAACACAAAAGAGGCAAGAAAAAGACTTCACAGAGCAAATTGCCCTTTCTTTTATGTTTTATACTGTATTTTACTCGTGTTCTATCAGTGATCTGGTTCACTCAGGCCAGACAAGAAATCTGGTAGAGTCTGGGAAGCAACAGATTAGAGGAGGTCACATCATGCTAATGAGAATCATTACGATCACATGATAGCCAAATAAACTAATTGTCATCTTATTTACAAGGCAGCGTTTTCTAAATCAAAAGGTTAATTACATCTGAGACAGAGTCCTTCACTACAAACTGACCTCTAAGTGGTTTTTCTTTTTTTTTTTTTTGCACTCTTTTGGTCTTCCCTCTTCTTTTTGGTCCTAAAAAACAAAAGGCAACATCCAGATTGAGTTGCCTGCTTGTTTATTGATAAGCTTCAGGCGCAGACCCTTGCTTCCCCGCCCCCCCTCCCCATAAAGTGCCAGGCTGAATAATTAGCAAACATCATCAGACAAGACGTGGTGCCACCAAGGACTTTATGTTTCCTGAAGTTTCTGCGCCCCGAAGCCTTCCCCCAGCCACTAAAGAATGTTTGCTCTTCTTGAAATTAGATGGGTTTAATTGCTGTGGAACAACAGCAAAAAAGCCCCCCCACCACCACCTCCCCCTCCTCCCTTGTCAACGCACACACAAACACTCTGATACATAAAAAAAGTGTAAGATCGGGCGGACTAATTATGCTAATAGCCAATTGTTCAACCGTGGTGATGTGTTTACTGAGGGAGTTGATGTGTTTCCTTTTGCTTCGTCATAAGCGGCCCCGTCTACGGGTCCTCTGTGAGATCGCTGCACCTGAAGGCAAGGGGACGGCGGCCTCATCCATCCTGCCTAACCCATTACCCTTGGACAGGGAAGAAGATAAATATTGTTGCAGATGCCTTACTCTCTGCAAATGAGATTTTTCAAGCCAGATTTATCAAGCCTTGGCGGGGTGTTTAAGGCTCCAAAACTTGGCCCTCGGCATGATAAAATGGCAGCACATGTTTCTGAATCACCCACCACCGTGTTGTTGCCAAAGGGTTATGATGATGTAGTCAACTTTTTTATGTACTGTTGTGCATCTTAGCTATCAAAGCTCTCATATTTTGTTTTATGGAAACCTAAGTTTTTACAAACTTTGCATAGAGGATTATCAATCCTTTTTTTTCTTTTGAAAAGTGTTCTTTGTTTTCATATTTCTTCTTTAGAGCATGCAATGTGCCGTCTTTCTTCATACAAATAAAAAGAAAAAGACTTTTTGTTCTTTCAGATACTTGTTCTTGGTTATATTTTTTGAGTTGTTGTGTATTTAAAATAATATCACTCCATTTTAATGGAAATATGTCTTAATGTTGTAACCTATTCCTTTGGCACAATTAAAGGAATAGTTTTTATCTTTTGAAGTGGAAAGGCTATGAACAGGGTTGCTCTTTGAACAGCCTCAGTTTGCAAAAGCAACTAATTATTCATGACCTTTCTCCAGAACCTGGCTTCAAAACATTTAAACTATCACTTAAAGAATTTTTTTTAAATATCTACTCACAGAGTGTTTATTCTTTTTTAAGATTTAAATCATTACCCATCGGCCATCAAAAGTCTTTTTTACGTGGCTATAAGTAAGCAGATTGTGCTTACAGCCAAACATGCCAAGAAAGCTCCGATGAGAACATTTCATAGGTTCTGCAGTAAAAGTAACATATCCAAACGTGTTGCAGCTAAACCTTGGTTTTAACTGCCCTCCGTGGAGCRTCCCACGGTGAAGTGCCATATTGACTTTGGAAATATATGCGAAAGAGTAAGAATCATAAAATGCAATGGCCACACAAAACCTTGCAGGAAGCAAACAGCTGAAGCTTGCTGAATAAGATTTATGACTTGGAAGCTGGGTTTTTTTWATTTATTTTGTATTGACTGTGTTTTGTTTTGCATTTTCCCATCCAGTTCTTATTCTGATACTAGTTCAAGTATACAAGCATGATGGATATGTTAAATAAATAAGGGGATATTGACAACCTGAATTACAAACTTTATTTATATTCATTTTTGACCCACAGTAAGGTCCCTACCCCAACTTTGCTAGCCACTAGTTTGCAACACAACACAAAACTTAAAGGGGGTTATTATGTATTTTTCAGGCACATAGTTCAAGTCTATAGCACAATTAAGTAACTATGTTACCTTTAATTGTTGTGAAAATGCTGTATGTATTGAAAATAAATTAGACATTGAACCTCCTACCGTTTCAGACACTCCCACTTCAGCACATCTTCACAACAATGCTTCATGGGAGGGGCACCCTGTGGGGCGGGAGCTGGGCTGCAGACTGAGCTCAAAGAAGGAGTTTTGGGTAAATGGGCGGGGCTTTGTACCAGCAAGTGTTTAGGCAGCAACACGTGGCTACAGGAGATTCAAGGATTTCTCCAACATGCATGAATGAGTCAAAGTAATACTCTGGATATGTTTTTGATGAGGGAATGATATTATAACATGATATAAAGCTCAAAACATTTAATTTTGGACAATACCACTCCTTTTTAAATAAAAATTTAGTAGTACAAATATTCAGTTTACAGCAATTGTATCATTAGGCTTTTGTCATTTCCCTAGACATATATTTTAATATAGTTCTTGTCAGAAAACAAAGCTCAAAAAAGTCGATTTTGCACGATACACCCCACTTTAAAAACAACTACATGGTGGATTGGAATAAAACTTCTGGGAAACAATTACAAGTGGTTAACCTTTGTAGCTAAACTAATTCAGGATGGCAGTAACAGTCAACTGACCTTACAAAATACAGAAATTGCTGTAATTCAGTCCGTTTAGGAGATGTTTTGCACTAAGTTTTGGTGTGGTGGTAGCTGAGAGTCATCTTCAACATATTCTTGAGGAGATAACACATCTCATGAAATCATATTATAACGAGCACAACATTCCTGCTCAGCACAAGCTCATTTTAGTTCATCACTTAGTTAATTTAGTCCACATCATTTAGTTAATCACTCACAATGAAATGTGTCAGGTGATACAGTGTGTATTAT